ATGGGGCCACACACCAAGCCAGGAGAGCATGGCTGGCCTGTGGCCTCGAGTGCTGCCACATTTCCAACCCCTCAACCCGCACCACTCCACATGCCAGGTGGTGGGCGATTCCCACGCTCACATGCAGCAGGAAGGCATCTGCTACGAGCTAACTCTTCCCCTCGCTGGCAGCTTAAAGGCGCAGGGATTGCTCCATCTCTGAGACCACACCGAGAGCGGGCCTGCCCCCACATGCGGCCACAGCAAACTCCAGTGCACGTGTCTGCTCGCAATGTGAATGTCCTGTTCATCATGCCCGCGTATATGATGTTGTCGTGTTCTCACACCTTGTTCACACGCCCTATTACAGAGGCGTCACTGCATAGGTAATTCCACAGCGTCCCTACACCTTGTTCAGACATTTATACATCCTCTATTACGTATGTATCACTTTGTACATAACCTTATAAAGTTATTTTTCTCAGAGTAGTTGTTTAAAATGATTAAATATAGCCTCAGATTTAAGGAAAAAATACAACTCAAGCTCTTTCCTTTGAGAGAAAAACAGAGGAGGAAACAAAAGATTTAAATCCTCAAGGCAGAAATGAAGACACAATTTTTCTGAGGAGCTGGCGCCCAGCTTTGCTGAGAGCGAGTGTGCTCAATTATCTAAGTTATTGCCTTCAGAATCGGGCTGCAGCCAGCCAACCGTGAGATGCCCGATTTTCTTTTCTAGTCTGCTCACCCTCGGTCCAAAATCCATTACCCACTCAGCACTGATACTTCATCCTAAACTAAAGGGCCTACGTTATTTTTGGTGAGGAGCTTATAAACAAAAAAATTTGTGATTTTTTTCTACAAAGAAAGGTTTACAAAGGGAATTCATGAAATCTCTAAGCTGACTTCTCCAAGCCTTCTGGCATACAATTTCCCCTTGGTTTGTTGAATATTTTGCTTGCTATACCATCCGAGTCAACAACACTTAACCACTGCTAAATGAGACTAGTGCTGTTATATCTGCAGAAACATTCTTCCGTTTGCACACCACTCTTTTGTCAATGTGCTGGGTTTGCTATGATGCTGAACCTTGTGCCATGGGGATATTAAATACCATAATGGGTTTCCCAATGTGGACAGTGTTTGGTGGAGCACCCAATTGTAAAACAGGTTAGGAAGCAGGAGTGGCATCCACTTCCTAAACCACATGCCTCTGGAAACTCTATGAACCTGGAGAAACAGTGATAGGCTGTGGAAAGGCATTAGGTCTTTTGTTCATAGAGTCGCTATGAGTCAACCTCAACTTGATGGCAATCAACAACAACAACATACCATTTGGGGGGTCAAACTCTCAAGAATCTGAAATAAGAATATTTAACTAGGAACATCCAAAGACTGTAAGGTTTGTAAGGTCTGGAATATAAACTGTGAGATGTTGAGAACTTAGAACTTGTACATTCAATGTCAGCAGGCTCTCTCTCCACACGCCGCACGTGCACAAGTGAACACCTCAGGGAGACTGGCTGGTGCTGAGGAGGTGAGCAGGCACACGTCAGCATGTATGTGCACACGTGCAGCTGTGTGCAGCCAGAGTGCTCCTCAGGAGCAGAGATGGTGACATGTCCCCTCATACCGTGGGCACGTTCCCTGAGCAGGTGAGCTGGCCAAGGAGCGAGAACCACGCACCTACGGGCAGGCAGCTGGCTTGCTGGTGAGGCGAGTGTCTGCAGTGACACAGCTAACATTCTGGGCTGGGGGTCCCTGCAGAGGACACTCTGGCACTGACAGGCAGAGTTGAGGGGACTCAGCAACACTCATCCAAGGAGGGCAGACACTGGGCAGGGAGAGGCCAGGATCTGCAGCCTGACTGTCCCAGATGCCGAGATGGAACCTATAACTTCTCGGATCTGTCACACTCGAGTCCACTGCTCAGTCACTGGGTCAGTCACCGGCCCTCCACCTGTCCAAGCATGGTCTCACTGAGTGTGTCGGAGATGAGAATGGTACAGGACAGAGTTCTGTGTTCACAGGGTCACCAGGAGTCATACCTGCATCGAACAGCTTTCCTGATGAACCCCATAACTGTGAGAGTGGGCTCTGGGTACTGTGTGGTCACTGTAGTGAACCCTCAGTCCCAGTAGGGAAGCAGAGTATCATGGGAGAGATGGCTGGTGGCAGTGGTAAAAGGCTGGTCAGTGCAACTTCCAACCAGGTGTCCCCTGGGGTCTGGACTCATGGCCTCTGACACGAGGGGCGAGAAAGATCTTGGCCAAAAGCAGCTGGAAGCTCCTCCCTGGTCCTGCTGAACTAGTGACGACCATGGGCCTTGATGCCAAGAGAAGAAACCTTCTGGCAAGTGAGCCTACTTCAGCGTCTGGCCAGCTGTGCAGAGGTGCCCGTGTCCCCCACCCCCAGTCCACAGCACAGCCCTCTGTCTATTTCCCGGGACTGGCTGACCAGAGTTTAGTGACCCTTAGCATCAGTCAAGCCCTTCCCCCCAGTCCCACGTGGACCTCCACAGCCTCCTGCTCCGGGGGCTCTGTGGACCCGGCATGTTCTCCAGGTCTGTCAGCTGACCCACAACAGGAGGTGTCACAGGACCCTCTTTCCTGGTATCCACAGCAGCTGAGCCCAGACACCAGGGCCCACTTGCCAACCCTCCAATGCCAGACTGCCCAGTCCTCAGCCTCTGCCCAAGGGGCTGGGTCTCCACCCACATCCATGGATGGTGGCCACTCATCCAGCTTTTTAGAGGGTAACATCTGAGGTTCTCTCAGCTCTTGTTATGTGGTGTCAACTCCAACTCACAGTGACTGTATGTACAATAGCTCTGAACCCTGCACTACTCTGAGTCAACCTTATTGTCTCTGACATACCTACCCCCATTACCCCAGTCACTGAGTCAATCCAACACATCGAGGGTTTTCCTCTTCTGTGCTGTGCCTCTATCCTTCCAAGCATGACGTCCCTCTCCAAGGACTGGTCCCTCATTGAACATGCGGGGAGTGGATGTCGGATGGAGCTTCTATATCCTTGCTTCCAAGGAGCAGCCTGGTTTCATTCTCTCCAAGATGAATCTGTTTATTCTCTTAGCAGTCCATGGTATATTCAAGCCTTTTCTCTAGCACAACTCAAAGGCATCGATTCTTCTTCTATCATCCTTAGTCACTGTCCAGCTCTCTAATCCATAGCAAATAATTGTGAAGGCCATGGTCTGGATCAGGCATACCTTAATCTCTAGACTGACATCTGTCTTCAGTCCTCTGGAGAGGTCTCTTGACAGCAGACTTTCCCAGTGCAATTCATCTTCTGATTACCTGGCTGCTGGTACCAAGAATGCTGATTGGGGAGCCAAGCAAACTGAAGCTGTCAACAATCTCAGTCTCTTCACTGTCGATCAAGATGCTGCCAATTGGCCCAGCAGTGAGAATCTTTGTTTGCCTGATTTGAGCTTCAATATTGAAGACTGCAGTCCTTGACCTTCTGCAGCAAATGATTTAGGTCCTCTTCAGTTTCAGCAAGCAGGGTCGGATCATCTTCATAACTCAGGTGGCTGATGAGTCTTCCTCCAATCCTGATGCCACACTCCTCCTCATGGTGCCCAGCCTCCCGGATGATCTGTTCCGGATATAGATTGGAAAGCTCCTAGTACTTAGTGAAAGGCCATTTATCATACTTTCAAGTATAAGAATGGGCTGGATATAAGAATCTATGAAATCAACAAGAACAGAGAAAATTATGAATGCACTAAATAATGAATGCACCCTACCTTCTTTGCTCTTCCTTTCTACACCCACAAGTCTCAGCAGCACCTGTAAACAGCCCAAAGCTTATTTCCTATGTTATGCTATTTGACCATTATCAATTTCTGCTACTTTACTTCGGGTTATGAAATGAAAGAGAATCAAATCCTGCAGGCTTGAGGGGGTATTGACCATGAAAAGTTTGTTTCTAAGGTCTGCACGGATTAATAAAAACACTGGCTCACATCCAGACTACTGTCTCTTGGGAATCTACAGTTGCTTTAATAAGAATTTTTGTCAGGTCTAAAACTCTAGCTTATGCTATAAATAATATGCCAGCAGAGGATAAAGATTATAGACCTCCATTTCTGAAATGCTGAAGAATATTGTGGTTTATACAGGAAACAGTAAACACGTCAGAAGGATACATATTCAGGTTCACAGGAGAAACATATGTCTCCATCTACAAGGTCGCTATAAATGATAGCTGACTTTTTCTCCCTTCACAGCCAAGATCAACTGTAGCATAAAGCACATGATACTTTGTTCAGACCATAAACTACCCAAGACAATATGTGCACATGAATGTAGCCATGAATAGGTCTCTGCAAGTGCCAGTTATCTGCACCATAAATTTCCAACAGCTCATTACAAACAAAACCCAGGAACAAGATTCAGAATTGCACAGTTCTAAAAGATAGGTCATAGGTCATGGCTGATAACTTCTCTACATAGCCAGAGGAGGGGGCTACTGGCTGTAACAACATGGCATTGGATAAAGTGAGGGCAAAATAACATTCAGAGTGTGTGTGAGTGATAAACTGTCAACAAATGTATCTCTAAGTAATTCCCAGATATCATGCTGATCATCTCCTCTCCAAATATTCCAGAATAGATTTCTGAATTCTTCAAAAATTATACAGACACACAGTATTATCACACCTTCACAAAAAGGTTGCTCAAAATATTCATTTCCTGGCCATCTTAAAAAGAAAAAGAAAGAAAAAGAAAAGCTTTTTACATTTGGTTCCTTCCAAGGAGGACTCAAAGTTCCACACATAGCCCTCAATGTCTTGAATCCAGGCTTTCCTTTCACTTATTTCTGTTTTCTTACAATTTCTACAGAGGTATGTTATTGGGTATCATGGCCCCAGCCCACAGCAAGCCCATACACACAGGAAGAGAGCACAGGCCCTGTGTCACCCCCACAATCACTGCCATGCTCTGTCAGTGCGTCTCATCGCGGGCCCTCCTTTGTCACCGACCCTCACTTCATCAAACATGAAGTCCTTCCGCCCCTAAAATGCCCGAAGTCTGAGACGCCGTCTTGGTACGTGCTTCGAAGGGGCCCTCGGTCTCGGCACGTGCGAAGGGGCCCTCGGTCTCGGCACGCGCTTCGAAAGGGCCCTCTGGCTGCTCTTCTTCCCGGCGGACAGGCTGGTTCTGCCGGCAGTCCAAGTTTCAGCCGCAGTGCTCTCAACAGTCCACACTTCAGAGGCATCACTTCTCTTTCGAGCTTCCTTCTTCCATGTCCAATTTTTGTATCCATAGAAGGTGATACAAAATACTATGGCTAGAAGCAAGTATACCTCAAATCTAAAAGCGACATCTTTTGATTTTGACTACTTAAACAGGTCATTTGTAGCAGAAGTGCTCAATGCAAACTTCATCCATATATAAATATAAAATATATCTATTACCTGAACTTCTCTTGAGCAGTTAGGTTACCACTGCCTGCCTCCTCCTCCTCCCAGCTGTGTGGTCAGGAGTTGAACGCCGTGGCTAGTTCCCCAGGCAGCCCTGGAGGGAGCAGTGCAAGGATGAAGGGAGGACGGGGTCCCTCCTGGGGCTGTACACTTATTGTCCTGGGCTTGTGCAGAGGCCAGGGCCCCCCAGAAGCACTGAGCTGAGCCCAGTGTGGCCTCGAGCCCAGAGGATGGCCTCCACAGAACACTGGGACCCCCTTTCTGATGGCTTCACAGAGAGGAGCAACGCATCTGGCCACGGCCGGAGTATCTCAGCATGGCACACCAGCTGGCCCCCCTACTGGGAACAGCTCCCATCACCCCTCATGCAGCCTGATGTACAGCAGAAGTTCCAGGCATGGATGTCTCCCCTGCCCTGGAAACCTCCAACAGCTGCTGTCCTCCTTGGGTTCCATCTGCTCCCGGGAGGGAGGCAGGCAACGCAGAATGCTCCGTCATCTGCTCTTCCTACACCCAACTCTCCTGACTCTGCCTTATCCTCATGCAGTCGGCCACCACTGCTGTCCTGTGGTAACTCCTGCACTGAAGGGACCATCTTCAAAAGGTGAAGTGCTGCACTCCCAACCCAGAGGTGGAGGTTTGGTTTGGAGACGTTCACTCTGTACAGCGGGGCAGGACAGTCAGTGGACCTTGTTTTATCCTGCCTGCCAACTTTTGTTCAAAGTCCAAAAAGAGAAGGCACTGAGGTGAGGAGTGACAGACTGATGGCTGACTGCACACCAGCCACACTGGCAGGAGGCAGCAGTGGAAGCAGTGACGTCCCCCTAACTTCGGCCAGTGATCCGCATCCACTGACACAGAAGCAGGACCTTCTCAAAAAGATGCTCAGGTGTCGAGGGCCAACACAGCGCCACAAGGACACTTCTGACTGTACTTGAGGGGCAGAAAGTAAGCCCAGGAGCCGCCTGAGATGCCAGCTTAGGCCGAGGGGTACACAACACCATATGTGTCCAACATGAGGCCTCTCAGCTAGCAGTGCGACCCTCCACCCTGCACCCCACCAGAGCTTCCGAATCGACTGCAGGACACGCCACTGAAGTGTCTCATACATCCACCCACCAAGCAGTGTCAGGCCCGATTCACAGTGACCCTCCCCTGGGTCCCACATGTAAACCTTCACGAGAACAGGCTGTCCATCCTTGCCCCACACACCAGTGGTGGATTCAAGCCGTCAACCTCTGCGCCCCTTGGCCCACAGGTGACGTAAAGTGATCAGCTCATCACGGGGCCTTTAGAGGTGATGCTGTCCTGAGGGGGGCCGTGCGTCCAGATGACTCGCTGGACTCACACCTCAACTGAAGCTGGAGGGCGGCCAGCGAGAGTGCCCGCCTCCTACCACTTACAGACCATGGACTTGCCTGTAACCAGAGAGGAAACCGACTCCCAGCGACCCTGAAGGGCAGAGCAGACATGCTCACAGGTTCCCACAACTGTAAATCTGCCCACCAGCAGGGTAACAGTTGGTCCACTGTGCAACCAGGACTCCACTGGACTGGCCAGTGCTCCACATGGCGTGAGTCAAGTCCTTCAAGCCGATCTATCTCTCTCTCACACAGAAATAAGCGTTTGTTAAAACTGCACGTGGACAGCACACAGGGAAGGGGCCAAGCACAGAGAAGTCACCGTGACACTCTGTCCTCCTGCTCCGGTGTAGGCAGGTGACTCTGAGGGTCCCTGAGCGCTGACTCCCTCCCCAAGCACTGACAACGGAGTGACTTTGACCAGTGTGGTAAACAGTCACAGTACAGAGCATCCAACCCTCATTGAACCTGCACGAGGCGATGGCCACACTGTCGGTCCAGGCTGACCGCACAAGTGGCTATTACCTGCTGGTCGACCTCACGCCACCTGGACCTGGTGCAATCCTTGTCTTCACTGCTCAGCACAAGGTCAACACCTGCTGACAGCTAGGTCTGGCAACATCCAAATACCTTTCCCCCCAAAAAAGAAAAAAGGGTGGGACTAGCTAGAGAATTAGCCTCACAAAACTACCCGGAGTTTAAATGCTTTTTCCCTTTTACTTGCAAATTACCTCAGATTGCTGTATTCTTCACTTTCCACATTTTGACAGGTCATGATCTGTTTTGAAGCTATGGGGATACAAACCACCTCCAAGTCAGACCACTCTTGATTGCAAAATCCAAGTCCCTTCTCTACCTCCAACCCCTACCAATCAGCTTTATGCAAATCACAACAGAACTGAATGTAACACAAAACTTCCATTTACCAACTGGAAATTTTAAAAAAGAAAAAAGGGCTTTCCTTTCAGAGTCTATTGTTACAAAGTTAAAATTGTTACACCATGACTTAATCTAGGGAGCCCTGCCTGCCTTGTGCGTGGAGTCATGCCGTCAACCCAAAGGCAGGCAGTTAGAATCACCAGCCGCCCCCACAGAAAAGGACACAACCTGCTCCGTGTGATTCATGCCTCTAAAGGCCCCTCCGGGGGTCGGGCAGCTGCATCAGAGGGGTTTGGGTTTGGTGGCCTAGTGCATAAGGAGTCGCGCTGCCATCCCAAAGGCAGTTAGTTCAAGTCTAACCACTGCTCCCACCAGGGAGCAAGACAGGCGCTCTCCTCCCATGTGGCTGACAACCTCCGAAGACTTGACGGGGGGTCGGCTCCAACTCGAGCACAGTAAGCTGAGCTGAACAGGAAAGGAACACACTTAAGGCAACTGTGCACAGGCACCCAGAAAACAGCATCACCCCCAAATTCACACAATCACATTTGAGAAGCAGGTTCTCCTAAATTGAACCTGTTTTTTGTTGCTGGACATGACTGTTAGCAATCAACCAGGCTGACACCAGCCATCCTGTCACGGAGGCCCGATTTCCCGGCCAGGTTAAAGGGGTGTCATTGGGGGTGTGCCGTGCTGCTGACAGGCCCAACTGCTTTGGCCCGTTATTGGCCCTGAACCTCCCTGGCCTGCCAGCCTCCACAGGCACTTGAGTACGAAGCCTCTCTTCCTGAGGGCTGACCATGGACCTGGGACCTGCCAGCCAGCACGAGCCTCTCACTAAAGTACAGATACGTGGCCTTGACGTTGCTGCTCTAGAGAACAAGCCCACAGCAGTGGTGTTCACCAGCAAGCAGGAGGCCCCAGCCTCGCACCCATGAAGAGGGCAGGGGCACAAGGACTCCCCGGTGACCACCTCCCAAGTTCAAAACTAACTGTTTACCCGGGAACTGTCAACAGTGGATTCCAAGACCGAGCATGTGTACACCATCGAAGCAGCCACTGGGAACACAGGCCTACAGGAGGCATGCATGTGCACTGGGCAGTAACGGGCAGTCCAGTGTGTGTGCGCGTGCACGCACACATGCACACAGGACAGTAAAGGGGCAGTCCAGTCCAGTGTGTGTGTGTGTGTGTGTGTGCACGCACGTGTGCATGCAGGACAGTAACAGGCAGTCCAGTGTGTGTGTGACGTGTGCATGCAGGACAGTAACAGGCAGTCCAGTGTGTGTGTGCGCGCGCCCAGGACAGTAACGGGCAGTCCAGTGTAGCAGTGTTGTCATTGAAAGGGACTGTGGGCTTCTGATGTCTCAGGGAAGAAACGGACCTTCTGAAAATAGGTTCTGTTCTTAAAAGCTTGCATTAAAGTGCTCAAGAATTAAGAGGCAGAGAAATCAGAATAATTTCCCCAAGAAAATGCTGAGAATATAAGGAATTTCAGAAAGACTCGGTCAGCTTCATATTAAAACTGAGAATTTCTGTCACATGATGAATATTATGAGAAGAAAAAACAGCCCACAATATTCAAATGCAGTCCTGAGTTCTCAGACAGGTGGAGCTTGGCCTGGAAAATGAGGCTGAGAAGGGGCATTGGGGTGCGGTAGCCGGCACCTCATTACACTGTACAGGGCACTAGGCCTGGGGGGCCACCCACTGCCTATGGACCCCACCCAGGCCTCAGCTGCCCTGGCTCCTACTGCCCATTGGGGTTTCCACTACCCCCTGGGGGTCCTCCCACTGCCCTGCAGGGGTTCCCACTACCTGGTGGGGGTCCTCGCATTGCCACAGGGGCACCTTGCGGGCCCAGGAACGCTGGTGTTCACAGCTCTCCCCCGACCTGCAGCACACCTGTGCTTGTGAGAAAATGCTGTCTAAACTGGCGAACTGAGAGGGCGCACACTGAGCGGCCTGGTCTGCGCGGACGGGAAGTTCTGTAGAGGAGACCGGAGCCAGCACTGCGGGCCCACGTCCTTCCCCGGCAAGCCGGTGCTCTCCAGCCCCCACACCCACTATCAACTCTAGTATTGTCATTATTATCATGAAACCAACAAGCATCTTATCCTCCAAGACATACAATAGCCAAAACTGACTTATGATTCACACCCAATGAGTCCATTCTGACCCAGGTGACCCCCTACTGGGTTAAGGGAACAATCTGCCTCATCTTTCTCCAGAGGGGAAGCTGGTAGACTCGAACCATCAACCTTCTGGCTGGCAGTCCAGCCTTTAATGCACAGCACCCTCACCACTAGGGTCTTCTGACAGGGAGTGCATAGCAGTCACCAACACAGCCCCAGGGCAGTAAGCTTCTGTGAATTCTGGTTTGGACTGGGTTTCCACGCTTTGAGTGGGGAACCCCCAGCCCTACAGGAATAAAGGACTTCCTGACAGACATGTGCAGAGGCATTCAGAGTACCTTCGTGGGCAGGGTTGGGAGGGTAGGTGGTGGTTCCCAAGACGAGGGGCTCTGAGAAGTCTAGAGCCCTGAGAAAGATGATGTCCTCAGGCCACACAAAACACATTCACAGGGTTCCTCAGCAGACATACCCAAAGGTCCTGGAAAGAAGCTTTCAAGAAAAGAGGGGTGCCTTCAGAAAACGGCTGAGGGAACAGGGGCAAGGGGGCTGTCCACCATGTGGACTTTTCACGCAAACTGACTTGGACACAGGAGGCCGCTCCAGTCCCACTTCTGGGCACAACCTGGCTTCTTAGCTTTGCTGCGCCCCCGTCATGGACTGAGGATCTAAACGACTCTTCACACTGGGCGGCTCTGAACAAACTGACACCTGAATGCTGCCTCCCCACCCCACTGCACCTTGTCCATACGGGGCAAGTCCAAGGGCAGGTAGTCATCCACGTGATGCAGTAATGACCGGACCTAGGGGGTCAGTACACTCTGATGGCAGTGGCTCCCCTCAAGGCTATTTCCAAACATATTACAAATTTATGCTGAGTTGTCTCTGTGGCATTTACTGAGACACTCACTACCTGGAGTTCTTTTTTACTAGAATGATACTGTGTAGAGAGATTCTTCTGAGTTATGACTCATAAAAACTAAGAAGCAATAGTCTTTCAAATGCCTGTGCGCTCCTGACACAGAAGTCAAAGGGTCTAGGCAGGCAGACCTGCCAGTGAGGACCAAAACCTTCCAGAAGCACAGCAGTGACGGGCCAGTGAACGGCAGCAAAGCCTCAGCCCTGGGCTGGGTTCTGGACTCTCCCTCTCACACACAGCCAGAGAAAATGCACAGTAAACTCGAGGCAGATCAGAAAATCTGACAGGTGGGAAGAGTACAGGCAGCTAGCTGGCAGGCAGCAGAAGAGGCCTGGTCATTTCTGCTGAGACAGGACAGAGGACGTGGACACTAGGTGTCTCCATGACTAGAGCATCCTCCAAGGCCCACTCCCGCCCAGTTCTTCTCTGCGTTTAAGACTGCACTTGATTCCAATGGCAGGAAAAGCCCCTCCCAGGCCCTGAAGGGAACAAAAGGGAACTCCTTATTCAGCCACATCACCACACAACCTGTCTCAGAGGGTACCTGCCCAGTCACTGCATCTCCGTTCCATGGCCTCTGACTCACACCTCTCCACTGACAGCATGGTGGTTCCCTGGCCACCTGACCTGTCTCTGGGAGGTGCCACAGAATTGTTACCTGGGGCCTACACTGGGCTGTCTGAGAGATAAACTAATCTCTAAATCTACTCTTCCATCTAATCAGAAGTCCACTCTAGGCAGCCATCAACCCTCATCAAGGTTTCTGGGACATTTACTGCTTCAGGAGTTAGTTTTCTATATATGAGCCTAATTATCAGAATTCTTTTTATCTCTTTCTCGTTGCTTCCAGCTCAGCCAGACATGTTGCCATAAATGCACTCTACTATCAAGCTGTGTTTGCTAGTTTGACTTTTCCCTGTTACTTTATCTGATTTTCATATTTGCCTTAATTTTTGTTGTACTTTTAATTAGTTTCACTATATTTGGTGGAAGAATGTTTAGGTTTTTCTCACTGTTAATGGCCAAATTGTTTCTCTTGCCTAAAGTAGTATCTCATTAACTTTAAAAGCCATCTTTTCCACATCATCTAGAGAATCAATTTCCTGTGCAGAGTGGGATTGAGCTTCTGCAGCACCTCTCATCTTCCCATATTTGTATTTTAATAGTTATAGGCGCTTAGAAACTAAGACGTCTAATAAAAGTTTTTAAATGTATCTTGAGAATTGACACTTTGTAGCTTTATCAGAAACAACAGGCTTCTTTCAGATGGAACAAGGGAACAGCTAAGGAAACAACCCATGGGGCAGTTTCCCATTTGCAATGCTACACACACACACACACACACACACACACACGCACGCACGCACGCACTCCGGGAGGGGGGGGGGGCTACTCGCTGGGGCTGTGCTGGAGCCCATGCACCTCCACAGAACTGTCACGGCTTCATCACCCTCTGCACACTCACACTCACATACACACACACTCTCTCCCTTTCTTTGGATTTTGATACATTAACACCAGATGGCTCTAGAGGTTTTCCAGGAAAATGAGGTGTGTATGTGAGCTAACGTGCCATCCAATGAATTTTATCATTTTATTTCTTGGCCAAATCTAAAAAAGAATTATTCTTTGTAGGTGATAAACAGATGTTCAAACAACTGGATTTTATCTTCTTCTCACTGCTGTCTGTCAAGTGTTACTTTATCACATGCAACTACTCCTTTACTTATTTGATTTGCAGAGAATTTCAGCTTCTGATCTACTCTTCAGTCATAGCCAAGGAAGGGACAGATGTTCCTCCTTGAAAGAAAATATGGAGGTCACAGTGTGCAGTTTTAAAGGCTGGGAAAGATCTGGAGTCTGTGAAAAGGTCACCATAACATTCCTGAGCCTTTGTTTGTGGAAGAAGCTTGAGAGAAGGCAGGCGTCTCCCACTCGCCCCTACAGAACAGGAAGCACACCAGGTGATGACCCATCCAGAGGAGAAGCTCCCCATGCACGCCTCTGCACCCACCCAAGGTTCCAGTTCTCCTGCATGGCCTGCTCCAAGCACACCAAAGGGTTCTGACTGGAGTGGTTGACGGCTTCCTCCAAACACTCCCATGGAAAGGGGGGAAGAGTACTAGCTCTCTCCATCTGTGTCTCCAAATCATCACCCTCCCAGTACTGAGCCTATTCTCCTCATTCTAACTACTGGAAATAAGATGAGGAGCAATGGGACAGCGTGAAGCCCCAGAGGGTGAGTGCTTCCGTAGCATTAACCCTGGACCCACAGCAGCCAAGCAGTCCTGGTTCCTGATAAAAGACATGGAAACAGGTCACATAAGGGGTCGGGCCCCATCTTTGCTTTGTGTCCTCTCCAAGGTAGGCAGGCAGGCAGGCCTCTCTGGGTGGAGAAACCATGATAGTTCTCCAGCCAGCACAAATCTGAGACAACCAACCACATGGTAGCTTGAAAAATGCTCTCGATATGGTTCAGCAGAGGATGGAGAACTATGAACTTGCAGTGTGCTTACCAACCTGTTTCACAAGTTTGCTTTTTCAAAGTCCTAAGAATGGTTGGACACTGAAATAGCTAAGCTCTTAACAAACTGAAAAATATCTGGGTGCAGATTTGATACCCGCCTTTGCTCCTTTAGGAAAGTGGCTTCCCAACACTTTGTAAAAGGAGTGCACTGGGCTTGAGGGACTGGGGAACAGCTAAGCCACCTGCTGTGTTCCTGCCATTGTTTCAGCAAGAAAGAATGGGCGTCGGCAGAACCAGAGGAAAGGGGCACCTCAGGGCACACAGAGAGAGAGCTGTGTGGATGACAGGTGTGTCCAGACGTCTATCTGTACAATCTCACTCCTCAGATGGATGGGCTGTGTCCTCCGGGGAAATTTACTGCCTCTGAAAGCCCACCGGGGGGTCAGCTATGGGCCGCCCCGTCTTGAAGGCAAAAAAGCACGTGCTGATAGAAAATAAGGTAAAACTTGAAAGATGGGCTCTGTTCAAGGTTAGAAAGCCGAAGGTGAGATGTGCCCCGGGACCCACAATAGCACACCCAGAGCGAGGGTGGACACCCTCTACAATCACTCCTCCCACGTCCCCGCGAAGGGCAGAAGCTAGTGATGCCCAGGCGCGAACACGCACGTGCCGGCCTCGTGCCCGCAGTGTCCGCTCCGCCTGGGCAGACGGAATACAGTACCGGTGGGAAGCAGGGGCTCCAGCGGGGTGAACACACGCTCCATGGCAGACTACTGGCTCTGCGTTAGAGAAACGCAGAGTTAGGATTTACACACCCGACCACGCGGCGACCGCGGGCAGCGCCCTTCAACCCTGACCCTCCCGGGGACGGAGGGGCACCGGACACCCCGGCGGGACACTCCTGGGGCTGCCGGGGCGCGCGGGATTCCGGGGGGACCGAGTAGAATGCTCCCGGGACACGCAGGGCGCGGGACAAGCCCAGCGGGAGTGCACGGTGTGCTGATCTCCGGGGCGCGGAGGGCGCGGGACCCGGGGCGCGAGGGGGGCCGGGCCCTGGACGCACAGGGTGCACGGTGGGCTGATCCCTGGGGAGCGCGGGGGGCCGAGCCCGGGACCCGGGGGCTGATGCCCGGGGCGCGCAGGGCGCGGGACCAGGGGCGCACGGGGGGCCGAGCCCAGGACGCGCAGGGTGCGCTGATCCCGGGGCGCGCGGGGGCTGCTGGGACGACGCGGGGCCCCGGGACACCGGGGGCGCGCGGGAGCACAGAGAACGCCGGGGGCGCGCGCAGAGCGCGTGCGGGACGCCGGGGCGCGCAGGGGCGGCTGGGATGACACCGGGGGCGCCCCGCCCGCAGAGGATGCCGGGGCGCACAGGGGCGGAGCCGCGGTGGGCAGGTGGGAACGAGGCAATCCCCGAGGGCGCAGGGGGCACTCTCCGCAGTCGCCCACCTCGCGCATGCCTCCATCCGGGGACTAGGGAAACCAGAGCAGCCCGTGTTCCCCGCATTCCCCGCCTCCTGCTACTGGCTGACTTACGATCGCAATCGACTAGTCGGCACTCGGCTGCAGGGCCTCGGAGGCAAGAGGGCCTGCGCGGGTTAAATAGCGAAGGGAGGCCCCGCCCCTCCTTAGCCACGCCCCACCGTAGGCCCGCCCCTGTGGGCGTTCTCGCGATAGCTGCCGTCTCCGCGGCGGAGCCTGTGTCCCGGCACCCCCCCCCCCCCCCCCCCCGCGGGATCTGCACGGCGAGCTCCTGTGCTGTCCTCCAGCGCGGTGTCCGCTCCCTGGCCTGTCATCGTGTCACCCACACGTCTCAGCCCTCACCGCAGGCTGCAGCAATGCTGTCAGACCCCCTGGCCGCGGGCAGTGCCGGCCTGCTGGCCAAACTCGTGCAGAGGCACGTAGAAGAAAAGCCTGGCATTCTCCTGGAAGGATTCAGATGACACCAGAGTCCGCGTGGCAGCCCTGGGGACAGAGGAGCGCTCCCAGGGCTGCACGGGTGTACAGGGGCTCATGGCCTCGTTTTCTTCCCTGAGCGGGCTCTCTACTGACCACACACCCTGTCCTCCCCAGAAACCCCTCCCTCCCGATGGGGGTGTGCCCGAAGCCAGCCTGGCTTCTCCTGGGATGCATAGTAGTTTTGTAGATTGATCTTTCAGAAGTAGACCCAGACCTTTCTTAGGTCAGGCCCAGACCAAGGTCAAGGTGGAGAATGAAGAATTCAAATAGCAACATGTCAACAAAGAGAGTGATCAGCCTCGCCTACCTGGCTAAACAACAGTGGAACGCCCCTCCCTTCCTTCCCTAAAGACTTGATAGTTTTTTACACCTGCCCTAGTCCATCTTAAGGCAGTTTCCCCCAGGTCTCTCTCTCCAAACCAAGGAATCCCACCCAGGAGCCCCCTTAGCCTTCTTTCTTTCTCTGGTCCCTTCCTTGACTCTTTGGCCTTACACTCAGCGCGAAGACATCACATCTTCCTCGGCTGGAAGGTGAAGCCTGCCCCGTGAGTGGCCCTGCTGGTGTTGGAAAGACTGGCGATGTAGTAGCCCCAGCTTCACAGCCCCACAGTCCAGCAAACTGACAGATGATTGGCAGCTGATCTTACGAGACTCAGCCAAACCCACTGCTGCCAAGGAGTTCTGACTCACAGCAGCCCTGAAGGACAGAGCCGCACACCAGCGGTCCCATGGCTCATCTTCCTCCTGTGGGGCGGCTGGTGGGTTCAATCGGCCCAGCTCCCTCACAGGTGCTGGGTGGGGATGTGCTGACCCAGGCACCAGGTGGCCTCTGCCAGCAGAAACAGAAACGCTTGCTCCAGACACAGAGGTGTCACACAGCCCAGCCTTCCGTTCCTATCAGGACAACACTTAGAAAACAGAAGAACTAGAAAGTTCTGACTGGGAAACACAAGAAAGACACAAATACCAAGAGAGACACTGAGGTTTATTAGACATTCATAACCGACTATGAACGGGTGAGGACAGACTGACCATCTTTATCTTAACAAAAGGGTTTATATATCCTTTGGGGAGTGGAGTTTAAACAGCTGATGGTGCGTTCCTTCTAGTGGATGTGGTGACTTTGGCCATCTGTTATCTTTTCCTTGGTCTGCTGTTTTGCTACACTCTTGAGAGTCTGTTTTTATTGTCATATAGCATTCCTTGAGGGTGGGTTTCTATTGTTATCTTGCCACATCTTTGTCAAAACCAGTTCTGATTGATCTCCTTTGTCAGTATGCCCTTTGCTGTTCCCTGTCAGGTTAAGTCTTCGGTTTGTAGATTTCCAGTTCCTATCAGGACAACAATCGGGAAACAGAAGATTAGCAAAAGAGGAAGAAACCCAAGGAGATGGACTGGCACAAAGGCCACAGCGATGGGTGTGAGGGTGATGGGGGTCCATGGATGCTGTTCTGGACATGGCTCCCTGGTGCCGTAGTGGACTCCACAGCACCTGACCACAGCCACTGTCTTACTCCATGCACTGTCCTGAAACGCCCTATCCCTCACATTGTGGAACCACATCAGCTGACCCTCTAGTGGACTTGACACACCAGAGCCAAACCCACTGCCCACGAGCCACCTCCAGCTCTAGGGATGTCTCCGCAGGATTCCAAGGCTGGAAATCTCTACAGGAGAAGAGGGAGTAATGGGTTCAAACTGCCGACCTTTCAGTTAGCACGTCAACGTGTAACCCACTGCACCACAGGGCTTCTTCAGAAAGGAGTGTTTTTATTCAGGGTCCCTGCCCGGTCGTTGGAGTCAGAGTCAACACAGGACAGTGAACTTGGGTGTGGGGACAGGCCCGTGGGGACAGATCAGGTGGCACGTTCACGTCCCACTGCTGACGGAAAGGTTGGGGCCTGGAACCCGCCATCCTCACTGTAGGCGAAGGTGGGGCTGTAAGAGCCACAGCCTTGGGGGACTCTGGGGGCACTGCTCTGCCCTGTGGGGTCACCGTGGCTCATGACCCAGCTCGGTGTGGTGGGTTGATGCCTGGCTTGGCTGTAGGTAAACAAGTGCCATCCTGTATCACAGGAGAGGTGTGAGGTGTGGGTGTCGCAAACTGGAGCACACGGTGTGGGGCCAGTGCAGAGCTTTCTCAGACATGCCTGTTTTCCAGACCTCAGGATTCACAGAAAATCCCAGGCTGTAAACCTGAAGGGTTGGATGAGGGGCCGGGACGACCCCACTGCAAGAGCCCCAGGCTGGGATTCTAAGGGACGAGAGGCCTGAGAGCCAGAGTGAGAGCCCCAGAACTGACCTGACACGGCATATAAAGCAGGCTGAATGCAACGCAGCCAGCCATGTGTATCATCCCATCGTGGAGGAGGTGAGAGGAAAGCCAGTCCGTTACTGACAGGACACATGAGTGGAACATACTGCAACAATTTGAACAAAACAAGGAACAAACTAGGTGTAAAAGGAACTCCTCACACGTTTTGGAGTTATGTCCTGGGAGGAAAAATGCTCCAGGCTCGAGCATGGTTTTCACAGACTCTTAGTTAGACACAGACAGGACAAAGGCCAAATCCTGGGACGAGGGAGACCACCAGCACGCTCCGAGGGTGTTCCTGTCAACCATGCCGCAGCTTTCATTTATGCGATTTGGAGACAAAATTACCAGCAGATGCTGATTGGTGGCAGTTACAGTCCATCACTGTTGGAGGCGGGTCTGCTGATGTGGGTAAAGGACTATGCCTGGAAATTGCACGCACTAGATGAAAGTTTAGAAGAACAGCCACCTGGTGGTAGGCGGCTCCTGACCTGTCCCCAGGACCTCCAGGTGGAACTTGAATTAGCTATTTGCCTCAAGGATACACCAGGCAAGCTCCCTGGTCTCCAAGAGCAAGAAGCCTTGGCAAGTTGGCATTGCCTTGACCACCACGAGCAACTTGCTAAGTAAAACCACGTGGCAGGTTTATTGGTCAAAGAGAAATGACATCTGAACTTATGCCAAGAGTCACAGTGGACTTAGGCCTCTATTACAGACTTCAACCTTCCACAAGCCAAGTGCTTCTGAATGTAAGCTCTACCACAGTTGTCAGAGCACAATGCAAACGAATTAGAGGACAGCAGTCAAAGGCAGTGGTGGTGTCAGGTGACATCAAGTCAGCTGGAATTCATAAGACCTCTACACACTGCATATCTCTACACACTGGGGGCACTGGGGGGATTGTTTTGGTTTGTAATGGACTTTTTTTGTTTAGAGGAGTTTTAGGGTTGCATAAAAGTTGTGCAGAAAGTACACGGTGTTTCCATACACCTCTCTCCTGCACATGGTTTTCCTCTTATTAACCTCTGCCCCAGTCCACACCATTTTCACAATCCCCCTCTGGTATCACCACTGAGTCAATCAGGCCCTTGAGGGCAGCCCACTCCTTTGTTCACTCGTCTTTTCCAGCACGTCTTTTTCTAAGGACATACTTTGGACATGTTGTAAGGAGGGACGGGTCCTTGGAGAAGGACATCATGCTTGGGAGGGTGGAGGGACAGCGCAGGAGGGGAAGACCCTCTATGAGGTGGATTGATTCAGTGACTGGGGTAATCGGGATGGGAGTGTCAGAGACAGTGCGATTGGCACAGGACAGAGCAGAGTTTAGGGCTGTTATACATAGGGTCGCTATGAGTCGCAAGTGACTCAATGGCGAATAACAACAACAACAGTCCTTCCTGAAATAGTCCCAAATGATAGAAGATGCCGTTTTACCCCCTTGCTTTAAGGAGCGCCCTGATTGCTTCTCCTCCAAGACCCATTTGTTTGGTTTTTGGCAGTTCACGGGGTGGTCAGTGCTTGTCACCAGCACTGGAGTTCAAAGGCCTTGATTCTTCGTCACTCGGCCTTATCTGATGGCCACGTGCAGATGCATACGAAGCAGTTGAAAACACCGGGGCTTGGATCAGGTACGCCTCAGCCTTTAAATGGATACTCTCGTTCTTTAGAGGCCCTCGACAGCAGATGTTCCCAGTGCAACAACATGCCTTTGAATTTCTTGGTTGCTGTTCCCATAGATGTTGATTGTGAGTCCAGGAAAGATGAAATTGGTGACAATTTCAGTCTTTTCTCCATCTATCATGTTTCCTCTTGATCAAGTGGTGAGTTTTTTTTATTTCATTTTATTATTTTTGTGTGCATGTACCGTCAAATCAGATCTGACTGGTACAGGAGGAGATTGCCCCTCCTTCCCCGGCAAAGCATCTGGTGGATTCGAACCGTGTGCCTCTGGGATTGTAGTTGCAGCTCCTTGCCACTAGGCCACCAGAGCTCCCCTCAGTGGTGAGTTTTGAGTGAGATAACCAGAAGTAAGTTTTTAAGAATTTTATGCTTTGAATATTTACTGAAACACTTTTTATATCTCATGAGTTACTGACAGTGTCACTTTGTAAATTTTTAAATACTCAGGTCTAAACAAACCCACTTCTGTCCTCTAGGGTAGATAGATTTCTGTCCTCTAGGGTAGATAGATTCAGTGACCTAAACCAATCTTTTCAATAATGACAGCCTGAAGATATTAAATATGTGTATGGAGCCCTGGAGATATAATGCATCACATACATATTGGGTTAGTTACAAAAAGGATCATGGTTCAAATCCCCAGCTCCTCCAAGGGAGAAAGGTGGACAGTCTTCGGAAAAAATACGTAGTATTAGAAACCCAAGCTGGTCTCTGAATCAGAACTAACTTAGTGGCAGAGAATGACTAGAGATGTACACATATTCAGGTTTCCGGTCCTTCAAGTATGGAAGACATTAGAGAGAACCGGGCATGGAGAGTGGACTAAAGGTCGAGTGAGTATTCTACTTGGCAGAACAGGAAACGGATTACAAGAAAGCCACCTTACAGGAGCCCAGTGGTTGGCACACCTTTCCTCACGGGTTATGCCAATTCCAAAGGAAGCTGCTCAGATATGGAGTCGGGGCACTGGTGGGATTGTTTTCATTGTAAGAGACCTTTTTTTGTTTAGAGGAGTTTTATGGTTTCATAGAAGTTGCGCAGAAAGTACACAGTGTTTCCATA